CCTAGTCCGCTAAGTTCTCAGCGCGGGACAGTATGCTTGCGAGCGCAACGATACTCATGAATAAATGTCTAATAGTGTTTTAAACTGGGTTCTGGGAGGATCGTGGACAACCGTCGGGGGAATGTCATTCCGCGCACTTACCACTCGAAATGAGAAAAAAAATTTCTAACGAATGTGTGTTCTCTGAGCTTGAAAATTTTATTACTATGTCCCCGCCCTGTGTTTGCTGGGTCAACGGTGAAAAACCTGTTTGCCTAGCTTTGTTCAAACAGGCCATAAGAAAGAATTGGTTCCCCTCGGTGACGTCTTTCGTGCGTCCTGTGTAGACAACTTCGTTGGCGTACTCCAGGAGCGGCCTGACGTTGGCCCCCATAGAGTATTTGGAAGTCCATGCGAGTAATACGGGAGAAGGTGCGTCGGATCATCCATAAAATGGCGAATGCCTTTTGGGCCGATTTCCCATGGTGCAGTGAGAAGGACAAGTTTGAGGAGACCCAGATGCCCAAGTCCTTTTTGCTATCCATTCTCGTGATGTTTTCTGGTCCCCTCTCACCATACATAACGGCCTCTAGCCCGGCATCTCCTACCCATGACCAAGAGACCTCCACGTCTACTTTTAGATGCCTGCCTATACCACCTCTGAACTCAATCGCACCAACAAAATTTACCGCTGGGATGGCGGTCGCAGTATTTCACCCGCCCATCCCCTGCATTAAAATCGAAAATGGGAACGCAGTCTCAGACTCACTGACCTAAAGACACTTCGTCCTTCCCCACCAAAACGCGTCCCATGGCTTAAACACCTGCTATCGAAACCTGTCATTGAAAAGCCCCCTGCCCGTCCAAACTCCCCACTCTTCGCCCTTGGTTTACAAACCTGCCCATGGTGAATGAATACACCTGTGGCCCCCCGCCCGATGCTAGCTTTGTTCTTGATGCAGCCACTAACTTCTAAACACCGTTTGCTGACTTTAGTCCTTTTGAAGGTCTGCCCCCTGGCCACCTGCGTGCTAACTACCTGGGATCCCTATTCGTCAGCTACCTACACCGTTACCTACCCAGTCACCTCCGAAGCCGCGAGTAGGTTCACCTTTGTGGCCTTTAAAATCACATCAAGCTATACATACTACGTGTCTGGGAGAAAATCATACCCACAACGACTGATTACCAGCGACTGATTACCACCGACAATGCTGCAGTCAGCCGCATGCGTCCTCCAAATTCATCTCGTACCCTATACTGACCCTGATGCTGCACCTCCTTCCATGGGTTCAGACCTATTTCACCAACTATTTATTCATCTACCATCGGTAGTAAGCACTCCTCCCCAGGTTCCGAACCCTGCCTCACATCATTACACCTCCAGGTACCACGCCCCTCAGTACTAAACCCCACGTAAGTGGGGTTACAAAGTTCCTACTTAGTACCTTCTGCACACCAATGAGCTTGTCAATAACGTTGTTCAATGCCAGGTCTTTATTGCCCCAAATCCATGATCTCCATACAATTAACACTAGTGCACGACCAATTACGGTCTGCGTGACTCAAACTTGGCCCACTCTTGCCATGGCCGTCTCAATCCCTGGCTATGATACTCACCGCTCTGATAGGCAAAACTCAAGGGGCGGTGGCTGTGCCGTCTACTCTAAATCGAGACTTTTCGTAACCACCTTTGATTATTCCCGCCTGAAAGGGAGTCCGGAGTCCATCTGTACTCCTACAGCGCTGACCAAAAGACCTGTGCTGGTAGGTTGCATCTGCCTAAAACTGACTCCCTTCCTCGCTCCGTTGCTGACCTTTCCCATAGCATCTCCGCGGAACTGCCCTTCTTTGTTCACGTAATTTTCTTCTGGACGACTTTAACCTGTCGGATATTTCCTGGTCTCATACCACCACGCCGTACCCCTTGCTCAACTTAGTGCGGGGGTCACAAACGGTACGCAGCCCTACTCGTGGCTTACATACCCTTAACCTAATATTCTCCAACGAACATCATTCCTCAATGAACATCATTCCATTCCCATTGTCTTATTGATACTTGTCATTTCACTAGTCTTCTACGTCACTTGCCTTTATCAGCATCTGTTTGCTTCTCGCTTGCTTGAATGCACTGAACTGTTTTCGCTCGCCTTGGTCCCCGGCCAGAAAAAACTAGAAGCTGTAGTATTTTATCAATGCACAGACAGCATTTATGATTGCTTGGATGGTTTTCCACTTTGCAGATCTGGAAGCATGCACGAGGGATGAAAACCTCGTTTGTTGGACGGGTACGCCTTGCAGGGAGGTTCGCCCTCTTA